GTGTCTGTGTATCTGTGTATATGTCTGTCTGTGTATCTGTGTGTGTGTGTGTGTGTGTGCAACAGACTGGATTGGGCTGAAGGTGAACTTCACAGATCTCTAAGGAAAACACCCAGCTCACTTCTCTGTTGGGTGGTCCTTCCAAAACAGCAAGATCTGACACAAAGCTGGCTCACCCCCAATCCTCCCCAAATTCACTGCACCCCTGCACTTGGCCATCCCTCCTAAAACCCTAGCTCCAGGGTACGAACTCTGAATTATGGCACCCTCTCCTACCAACCAAGTGCTCTTAGGCAAGTTGCTTAACTCTCTGAGTGTATTAAAGGCAGGATAAAAATATGTGCCATAGGATGGTGTTTAGGAATGAATTAAATTTTCATAGCTTATCTCAGTACCTGGAACACTGAAAGCACTCCGTAATACTAATTTTAGTGCTCTATTATTATTATTATTATTTTGCGCCTGATCCTGAAGCACCCGCTCCAGCCCTCCCTGACTCTACTTGAAAAACTCAAGCTTAATTCAAAGCGACTCTCCCCATGTGGCCCCTAGAGGGCGCCCGGAACCCACTTGTCCTCAGTTTTCGAATTTATGCTGGAGTCTGATTCCCATTTAAAAGCCAGCGGCTGCAGAGTCACCAACGCCACCTTAGGATCACGAGGCTCCTCCCTCCCGAGGCACGGGAAGACACGTGGGGTCTGGGACCCCAGGGTGGAAAGCGGAGAGGCAGCTCCCACGGTAGCCTTCCTTTGGGAGGCATGCTGCGGCTGGGACTTCACACCGGTCCTAATCCCTACCTCCCTTCCCACCTTCTCTCTCTTGGGGACTGGATCTCGGGCTTTGCAGGAGGTGGTAGAGTTCTCTGAAAGGTCTAGGCTTTGCTGGGACTTTCTGCTGGAATCCAGAGCAGCCGGCCATGAGGCCTTGGGGTCTGTCCCACACCAGCAGAAGGGAAGCTGAAGTCCCGGTTGGAGGAAGTCCCCACCCCCAAAGCCCTCCTGCAGAATTGAGCCCTCCTCCCTCTGGGCTGGGGGAGTAGGGGAGAAGAGCCAGAGAGCTCCTGAGGTAACAGCCTGTGGAACTAGCCAGGCAGTAACAGGCGTCAGCTTGTGAAAGGGTTACCACAAGCCCCGGCAGTGAAGTGTGCACTCTGTGTGTGCCTGGCTCCACACTCCGGCGGCTTCTCTTGTGCAATATTGTACACTCAGGATGTGGTAGGCTGCACACAGAGTGCAGGCTGGGACCGGGAGGTGAGTACGTTTGCTCACTGCCCAGCACAAGCGGCATCCCAGGCTCTCAGTGCTCACCTGATGCGCCCATCCCCCATCCTACGCCACTTGTCCTGGTCACCAGGTTTTCTCTGGGCTAGTTGGAAAACCCGTCCTGGCTCCAGTCTGCCCTGGGCCTATTCCGTGAGTCCCCACAACCCGGAACCCAGAAGAGCCCCGGTGTGTAGACACCTGAGGGCTTCCAGGAGCTACACGGGTTAGGACTAAACCAGGGTCACTCTCAGCCACGCTGGAGAAGCGATGGGCGGGGAACCTGAGAGGAGAGCCTTGTGAAGTGTGCAAAAGTGGGGTGAGGAGCACAAGGCTTGAGGGTGGGGGAGCCCTGGGTCCGAGTTAGAGAGATCTGCTCCTTCCTCCCAGCCCTAGCATGGCTGTGGAGCAGCGCCAGTGCCTCAGCCTAGTGGGAGGAACCGGCCCAAATGCTTCAAAAGCCTAGCATCTGGTCCATGGTTCTCAACCTGTGGGCCGCGACCCTTGGGGGGGGTGAATGACCCTTTCATAGGGATCATCTGAGACTTCGGAAAACACAGATGTTTACATTACAATTCACAGCAGTAACAAAATTACAATTATGAAGTAACAACGAAAATCATTTATAGTGGGGTTATGGTGAGGAACTGTATTAAAGGGTCGCAGCATTAATAAGATTGAGAACCACTGACCTATACTGTTCATCCACAGGCCACTTATCCACAAAAGGAGAGTTATCTCAGTCAGGGCATCCCGCAAGCCAAGCAACCTCACTGCGGGCACCATAGGCCACCAATGTCCATCCACTAGGGAGTGCCTGCGTGTGCACACACACACACACACACACACACCACCACTACCACCACCACCACCACCACCACCACCACCACCACCACCACCACCACCACCTAGCAGAGCCCCAGCATAGCTCTGGCCACACAAAGCCTTTATTATAGTTAACAGGTTGGGCCAGATTTTCTGTGTGTCACCCAAGACACAGCTTGGGGGCTCTTTGCCCCCCCCAGCCCTGCCTGGGCTCCTGGGGCCACAGACTGCCACCCACTCAACCTCTACCACCCATGTGCACAGAAGTCTAAGCCGCTGCTCCCGGATTCAGTGGTGGAAACCCTGGGGGTCTGGTTAGTGCCACAGGCTCACTCAAGCCGGAGAAGGAAACAGGCTTTCCGCCCAACAGGTTTGTTAATTCTTTTCCTCTCTCAACACTTCGACACACGTTTACTGAGATGGTTTTTTTTCCCATTTCTATTTTTGATCTGAAATGGAGTTTCTGGCAGATGTTGTGGTTGCCCTCTGTACAGTCCCAGATGTGATCGAAAACAGCGAGTTTTGAGTTTATTTTTTTCTTGGAGTGCTTGGCCTTGACCTTCACAATCCCTGCTTCGGGCTTCAGGCCCAGTACAGAGCTTACCCGTGCTGCAGCTCGGTGCAGGCCTGGCCAGGCGGGCGGTACCACTTTCTAGGTGGTTGCTCACTCTGGGAGCGCTCGGTGCATGCGGGATTCACTGAGATTCGGGCCCAACGAATTCTCAGCAGCAGAGAGGTGAAAGTCCTGTAGCTTCTCAGTGCCAAGAAACCCAATTCTTCCTGGAGTCTGATACCCCTGGGAGGCCTCATCCAGGGTCTGGGAATCCCCGAGCGAGAGGTAAGGAGAGAAGGAAATCGAAATTCTGAGGTCTGGGGCAGGCTAGCGGTATGGACATCACGCACCAGCCAAAGCGCTAGGGATGAACCCGGGATAGGCAGTGCTCTAGTCCCAGACAAACTAAGCAGAATTGGAGAGCAGCGGGGGGCTTAAGGCTCCAGGCTTGCATCTGCTGGCCCAGTTATGAGTGCCAGGGCAAAGCTATAAGACAGGAAGTAACAGACCTGCAGGGGGGTGCCCAGTTTTGCTTTCTGTCTCTGCAAGAGAAGGTGGGGGTGGTGAGAGCCTGGCTGGGCAGTCAGTTTGGGCCCTGGGACCTCTAGTCAGTTGGACAGCCTGGCCAGGAAATATCCGGGGTCCTCCAGACACTACAGCCTAGAGTCTTTGTCCAAGCTATCAGAAGACACAGTTCCTGCACAGAGGACTCGAATCCTGCTTCTCAAAGACACGAATGGAGTAGACAGAAGAAAAGACGTGGCTACAGTTCCAGCCCTACAGTGAACCTTGGGGCAGCCAGGTTAGAAGACTCTCACAGCTCTGGGAGGTTGCTTCTGAACTTAGCTTGGTTCGGGTGTCTGGCTTGTGAATGATGTGTGCCTGCTCTGTACAGAGCTCTAAGCTCTGCTCCGACCCTGGCTGTCTAATTCAGAGCTCAATAAAGCATTAGGAAAGCCTCCCAGGTCTCCTGGGCCCAGATTTCTCTTTTGCTCAGAACCAAGAGGCCACTGGATGCGGGAGTAAATGACCAACCCATTTTCCATTGGGCTTTTCTGGGGGTGCCTGCTATGCCCTTTGTCTCTGCATTATAGGCTCCCATGACCCGGACAGCTAGGGTACAGAACAGTGGCTCTTTGCCTACCCAGACCCCAACCACATTAACTTCCCACCTATAAAAGTTCTCCAAAGAAATGGCTCCGATCTCCTACTCAATCTCATCCCCAGTGAGTTTTCCAGACCCAACACCGCCCAGCTTTTTCCAGAAAAGTAGGACCAAGTCAATTTGTTGTTGTTTTGTAGTTGTTCTAGTAGCTCAAGAATTATATAGATGGGGGTGTGCGGGTGTTATGACTACTGTTCTGGCCAGAGTAAACTGGAGGCTCCCCGAGGTCCCAGGAAAGTCACTTTTGCAGGCTACTAATAGATAGTCCATGCTAGTATTAAAAGTTCAGATAGAGTGCTGGAGCAGATTCTGGCTGTAATGCTTAACTCGGTGCCCTAGCCTCTGCAGCTTGCTGGGAAGAGCGTCCAGTCTCCTAGAGCACTGCCTGTCCCGGGCTCACAATGTACCAGCACCACCACATCCAGACATCATCAGTGCCCGATTATAACTACTCTCACACAGCCACATACTATCACTTGCCGAGACAGCCTCCCACAATGAGCCACACGCCCCCCAATTACACAGTGTGCAGTTAAAACATGGCACACATGGTTATCCCTCACATACAATTAGAGATGATACACAATCAGAAACACACACCACAAAATAGAGTCACAAAGAAAACGAATATGTACTTTCATGCACATTAACCTGATTTATATACAATCAGAAAAATGAGAATCACAAAATCAGCCAAACAACAGTCACATTCTTACATGGTCTATGGTCTCTCTCTCTCTCCCTCCCTCCCTCTCTCTCTCTCTCTCTCTCTCTCTCTCTCTGTCTCTCTGTCTCTCTCTCTGTCTCTCTCTCTCTCTCTCACACACACACACACACTACTGTTGTAATACAATGATAGTTTTGATTTGCAACTTAAGGAGAAACAAACTTTTTTATATTAAACTACAAACATAATCACACCTTCAATACCATTTCAGTCATTCACTAACAGTAACATCCGCTCCCAGAAACACCTACCCCATGCTCTCAAATGCTAGCAATAGCTCAATATAAGCCTGGATCCCCTCAGCTTTTCCCCACCAGTCTCTCTCTCTCTCTCTCTCTCTCTCTCTCTCTCTCTCTCTCTCTCTCTCTCTCTCTCTCTCTCTCTCTCCCCCCCATCAATCCCTCAAGCTCAGATACTAGATGCTATTTCTTCAACCCCAGCTTGCACCAAACTCAAGTAGCTGCAAAATGCTGGGCTCGGCAAGGAGCAGCTCCAGCTCCTGAACCGGAGGCTTTTATTATTTTCCACATAAATTACACAAGCACTTTATAAAATGATTACACAGAAAACACCTTATAAGTGCATAACTTACCCCCCTCCCCAAACAGGATCTGGAGAAATGGGCTGAATTTGTGTGAAGCCTGTCTGTGCATACCTGGGTGCTGCTCTGATGTGCTGTGATGGGCCAACTCTGGCTGGTGTGTGGGGGCTGTTGTGTCACAGTGTGACTATGGCCTTGTGTTTGAGGAGCCACCCAGGACTATGCCTAACAGCGAGGGTCACTGCTAAGATCCCGAGCGTGCATGATACTCGGTCATAGTGTGTGGCTGTGGGGAGACACACCTGGAGGGACAGTGGTATCACCTCTGTGCGTGCCTGGGCATAGGGAGGTTTCCAGCTCTAGTACAGATAGCCTGGAGATCCCAGAAGCCCTTGCAAGCCCCACTTCCCTTGGATCTGTCTGTCCCATATTAAAATCAGAATAAAATGAAATAGAGGAAAACGGAGAGGACTCTGAACAGTTCCAGAGTGGGGCAGGATCACACCGGCTTTTGGAAAGAGGTCTCCGCCTCTCTCCCCAGCCCTCTTCCACCGAAGACGGAACAGTGTCCACAGGTGTGTGGATCCGGGGCTTGGCAGCCGTGCCAGAAAAGTCCCCGTCCCCGTCCTGCGTGCAGTCAGAAAGGGTGGAGAGAGCATTGGTTCTCCGGAGAGCTCTCAACTGGGCTTGGGTCCCACTGAGTGGAGGTACAGGCTCACTCGCAGGCCGAAGCCACCGACGTGACACTGGTGATTTTCGTGGAGTCGTCAGACCAGGGCTGCAGGTTCTGCAGGGCAAAGAGCGACGAGTTGTGCACACACAGGGGGTCTGCCGGCAGGGGCTGGGCCAGGCTCTTCTGGAAAGCCTCCTGCTGCAGCTGCAAGAGGATGCGGTTCGCCTGCTGCCTCTCGGCCTCTCGCTCCTCTGCTGTCTGTCGCCTGCATTGGGAACAAGCTGTTAACAGCCAAGACTCACCCTCTTCGTGCGCCTGCGCAGGCCCGCAGTTGGATCCCAGGAGATAGCCCCTTATCCACCCCTGAGCTCCTGTATGGACCCCTTTAATGCACTCTCCACTCTTGGGGGTCATGATTGTCACAAAAAACAACAACCTTTTTGGGAACCCCAAAATGGATACAGCAGAAGTATCCTAGAGGAGCATGAAAAAACCCAAGGGTCCTAACCTGCTGGGCCTCCTCCATTAAAGCGCAGCACCGACAGTCTCACCGGCACCCACTGGTAGGCTGACTTATCCCAAGACCAAGTGCTATCCCAAGCCCGACAAGCCCTACCTCATGAAGGCACAGAAGGAGGACCAGAAGAAAGACCTGTCTTTTCCTTCTCTCCTCCAGCCGCCGAGGCCTCAGAAATCCTGTGTCCCTAAGCTCCCGCTGGACCCACTAGCTTCCTCCCAGGCGGTCTTGGGAGGCAATGACTCACTTATTCCATTTAATGCCTCCCCTCCACCCTGTCAACTGAGATCAAACGTCTGTCTCTAAGGTGGACAGACCTAATGGGAGTCCCCGGGGCCTCCAGAAGCAATTTGTAGGCGATCGATGAAGCCGCTTGAAGCCTTCGGCTCTGCCCGAGGCGGGGCGGACGCCGGCCTGGCCTGCTCGCACAGCGGCTTCCTGACTTTTCCTTGTCTTTCTGTCTCTCATCTTCCTGGATTCCATGAATTTCTAAACTGCCCAAATGTTTCCCTTCATGCTGTTTTATCCCGTGTTTTCTTTCCATCCCTCTGTTTTCTCTGAATTAGGGGAAATTGTTCGACCATGTTTTAAAATAATCTGTTATCTTCCTTTTCACACAGACTCCTTGCTCCTGGCATTTCTCCGTCATCCACCCCACTTCCTACCTTAATTTTTTTATTTTCTTCTAAAATGAGGAATCTTGGTTCCTTTGTGTTTAAGTTTCTCTCTTTGCCTGTGGATGGCTTTCTGCCCACCACCACCCTTCCCCACCTTAAGCTTGGAGCGCACGGGCCACCCTCCTCAGCGAGCCCTGCTCCCTCAGCGAGCCCTGCTCCCCGCTTTTCCTAGCTTTCCAGAGGACTGAAGTCACGTTCCCCACTCCTTCCCCAGCCACAGGAATGTTGGTGGGGGGCAGCCGATTCACAGGGCCAGGGCTTCCTTTGTGGCCTCGGAGGCGGAATCCCAGGCAGATTCCTCGCCTTCATTCAGAAAAAGAGGAAACTCCAATTCCTTCCTCCTGCCCCAGGCCCGCCCGGAGCGGCGCCGCCGACTTTGCCCAGACTCATGCCACATGCCTCCCCAGGGTCTGAGCTGAGACGCCCAGCCTCAAGGCGAAGCCAGACTGCGGACAAGGTGTGAGGAAAGGCCCAAGGGTGCGAGAAAGGGTGGGCATGAGAATAAAGGGTGTGTGTGATTCGTGAGCACTGGGGGAAGGTGAGCAGACCACGAGCAAGGTCGAGGCACATGCATTCGGAAAAATAAAACTCAACAGCGTGAGAGCCTGGTAAGTGCTGTTGTCGTATGTCAGAAGGGAAAACGTCTTTCTTTCTCACGCACACCCATCTGCTCCTAATTGATCTCCCCCTTTCAGTGGGACCCGAGAATCCCCGCCACAGCCGGCACAGATTGATTTTCCCCTTCTAGGACGGGAGAAGACTGCGCAGAGCTCACGCGCCTAGGGAGGAAGCAATAAGCAGCGGCAGCCGGCAGTCAGGGGCCCCAGACGCTCCGCGGAGAGTCCGGCTGGAGCGCAGAAACCTGGCGCGGGCTATTCTGTCTCCAGCTCATAGGGTCAGGGAAGGTTCCACCCAGTAAAAGCAGCTGGGTAATCAAAGGACTCCCTGGGCACAGAAGTCCGGATGCATAGGCTGGTCTATAGGCCTGTTTGCCTCAGAGGCAGAAACCAGCCGAGTCTACACCGGATAGAGTGTGCTGTCTAGAAAGCCCTGCCGCTCCTCTTAAAACACATTTCTCCAACCCCACCAGTCTACTGCCCTCCATTGTTTGTAGTCCCGGGTGACTGTAGGAGCCCACATGTCTAAAGCGATCGGAAACCAGCAAACAAGGGGGAGTGTGTGCAACCCAAAAGAAGCAGAGAAAGCCTGCTCCGCCGAGACCGCTCGGCCCCGTCGGCCCCGCCAGCTCACCTCCACTTCGTCCGCCGGTTCTGGAACCAGGTTTTGACCTGCGCATCGGTCATTTTGAGCGCCTTGGCCAGAGCAGCGCGCTCCGCCGAAGCCAAGTACTTCTGGCGGTGGAAGCGCTTTTCCAGCTCACAGATCTGCAGGCGTGTGAAAGATGTGCGCGGCTTCTTCTTCTTAGGGGGCGTCCGGTTCTGATAGGGGTGACCTATACGGCGTGTTACAGTGAAGGGTGAGAGGGCCACTGGAGCGGGAGACAGACAGACGGCAGAGGCAAGCGGCAGAGCGTCAGGAGGCGTCCCAGGCCGGACACCCCGCGAGTCAGAGCACATTGGTTAGACCCCCTTACAAGCAAGGCAGCGATCTTCCCAGCAACCCTTCACTCCAAGCCCGGGACCCGCAAAAGACTCCCTCCTGGCCGCAGGCTGACGCCACCACTTCGGAAACCTGCTTGCCTGGGGCTTCGGAGATCCCGTCCACTTCCCCTGGGGCTCCCCTCTCCCCCACCCAGGGGCAGTTAAACACCAAGCTTCGCCAACCTCTGCCACTAAACTTAAAAGCGTTACTCCAAAAGCAACCTTTTCTGAGTCCTGGTCACAGCCCCACACTCACATAGCAGATATAGCTACAAACTTCCAGATCTGTACTCCCACAAACAAGGATGCACACCTAGACAAGCTATAGGACGCAGGGCAACAGGGAACTATGGTCATATACTCGCTCAGAACCTCCTTCAGGCCTGCTGCTGTGGTTGACTGTGACTCCCCGGAGCAGGCCTGTACCAGATACCTTTCTTATAGTAGGCTCTCTGTGGGACACACACACACACACACACACAACCACGCGTCAGGGGGCTTGTAGTGTGGATTTTAGCAAAGCCCCTCAAGACTGAGTAGGAGAGAGAGACAGGCCCTAGGCCTTGTCTCCTCCCTCATGAGAGGACTTTGGTCGTCTCACCGGGAGTCCCTTGACCAAGAACCCTTCTTGGATACCCCACAGTGAACACAAAGGTTTTCCCTTTTCTGCTATGGTCCCAAAGTCTGTTCGGGGCCTGGGGACAGTCTCTCCTGTGCTGTCTGTAACAGAAGCAGGGACCTAGGGTAACTTTGGGTGGCCTGGACAGGTCTAGCTATTAGACTGTTCTTTCCATATGAACACACACACACACACACACACACACACACACACACACACACACTTCGCAGTTAAGGCATGGAACTTGCCTGGGGAGTCCCAGCCACAAGCAGCAGCCTAAACCTCCTACCTCCCCTCTCTAAGGCCCAACAGCTAACTGGAAACCAATCCTTAACATTTGGGGTCTGAACTTGCCTGGGACCACTCACAGTCTCAGGATCCGGGAACAGCTAAAGGCAACCAGCAGGAAGCGAGCACCGGGGAAGAGGGCATGCCAGAGCTGGGACCGGGTGAACCGAAACCAGGGCAGAGCGAGCTACCGCCGCCGAGGGGAGGGAGCCGCCGAGAGCCCAGCAGCTGGCCGCCACCGAGAGCGTGCTGGTTCCAGGAGTTACCCTTTAGCCAACTCGCTAGCCAGGCGGGTGCATTATTCATCCCAGAAATCGGAGACAGACCCCTGGGAGAGATACTGAGGTTGAAAACGAAGAGCTAAGAGCGGCCCAGTCCCTTGCTGCCGCTGACCCTGAAGAAGCCGGGAAGAAAGCTGGCTGGGTCGGTTCCTTCACCGAGGCTTGAGGCCATTGCAGATCTGCAGCGACCCGTACCAGAGCTCAGAACACCCAAGCATGTGTGTGGAGTAGGGGACAAGAGGAAGGAGAACCTTTTCTTGTGCCTAATTCTGGGGCTCCTGGCCTGCTACAGTAAACCGCAGCAAGGACAGAAAAAAAATGTTTTGCTCACATGGCATGCTTTCTCAGACCTGCAAGCCTCAACTGTTGACAGAGGTGGTTCGAATCTACAGCCCTCTACCCTCTGCCTGACTGGGGATCCCGAGAGGGGACCAAGGTTTGCTTCTATCCAGAGCAGAGACAGAAGTGCTCGAGCTGCAAGAACTCTTGGAGCTTAACGATTCTTAGCACATAGAATCCTGCAGGAGACTGAACTTGGGGAACGCCGCGGCGCGCAGAGGCGCTAGGCAACCTGGCGCTCAAAAAGCTTCAAGGAGCGACCAAGCAGGGTAGGGGTAGCACGGAGCCCGAGCCACGGCCAGGCGGGGCGTGCGCGGGCCGGACTCACCTGTGAACCTGTCCTTTGTGTATCTGCGGTTACTCTCCATCCAGGGGAAGGTGAGGCCGGTGAGGTTGTTGACACCAGGCACCGCAGGCACAGAGGGCACGGTAGGCAAGCCAGTGGCCAGGGGCTGGGGATGAGCCACCGCTCCGGCCAGTGGCCTGTGTGCGGGCACCCGGATCACCCCTGCAGCGCTCAGCGCCCCCGCGCCGCCAGCGCCCCCGCCGCCGCCGCCGCCACCCGGACCAGGGCCGCCCGCCAAGGCCATGTTCACGTTGTAGGAGCCGGCCAGTGGGCCCATGCTGCAGGCACCGCCGCCGCCGCCCGCCGGGCCGCCGGGACCACCCGGGCCACCGGTGCCATAAGCTCCTGTGGCCCCGGCCCCCGCCCCAGCGGCGGAACCCCCGCCACCGTAAGTGTAGGCGCCTCCGACCAAACAGCCAAGGCCGTATTCTCCGTCCTGGAGGCGCGAAGCGGGCCCCATGCAGCCTCCCTGGTCGGGGCTGTTGAGGATCTGATCGATGCCGAAGCTGATGGGCTCTGCGTGGCCCGGGTGGAGATGGTGCGGACCCAGGTGCTCCATGCTGGCCCCGGCCCCACGCGGGGGCCCGGGCGCGGACGCTCGCTACGCTGGACTACCCCGGTAGCTGGCAGGGGCGCGGAGGCAACCGCGGCTCCAGGCTACGCTGAGACTTGAAGGCGAAGTGCGCAGAAGGGCCAAAGTATGGGGGAGGGGAGAAAGGCGGGGGGGGGGCTATATTCTTCCCCTCTCCGGCTTCTCCTTCCCTTCTCCGGCTGCTCGCTCGCCGTTGACTCTGGGACATCAATCACCGGGCGAAAAAGCCCTGAGCGAGCGAGCCTAGCTGTTTCGGCCGGGTCTCTCCATTGGCTGTGCGTGGAGAGGAGCCGGGTGAATGACAGCGCGGGGGAGGGGAAGGGAGGGGGAGAAGGAGGCCAGGAGCCCAGACAGATGCCGGAGCCAGAGACACAGGAACGAGATCAGGGCCCTAAGTAGTTCCAGCGAAGAGAAAAGAGGAATACCACAGCGAGAGGTTTAAAACGAGAAAGGAAAGAACAGCAAGCAGACACTCCCAGAGACGACAGACAGACGGACCCAAGGAGAGGGAAATCAGAGCCCTTTCCCAGGCCTGGCAGGAACCACCCCCCTCACTTTGAACAGGGCCAAAGGAGTCCAGCCCACCAGGCCCCTGGGGACAGGTGTCCTGCCCAACTGGAGAATCTCCCCAAGGGCTGAGCTGGGAAACACCTGTCACTCAACCAGGCGATTTACTGCAACTTCAAGTCCAGCTTGTTAGAAAGTAGAAGACTGTCTACTCCCCAGGTATGGAGCCCAGGCCCCGAGGCAGGACGGTGAGTTCAGGCTTGTCCTTTAAAACAGGTCCTATGAACAAACTGCCTATATATTGTTATAAAAATTAGCAGCCACTGCAGCTCAGCCTCTTAGAGAATTTGAGGAAAGAGGAGTCATCCTGAAGCGCAGACACAAGTCAAATGATTGGCTTGGGACTTGTGCTGGAGTGCTAGGTCCCTCACGGTCCCCCTTCGTTTTGAATAAGCAGATGTGCCTAAAAGCGATCCCTCCGAGGTCTGAATGAACCCCTCTGGGTTTACATTGCTTTCCACCTTTCACCTAGCCCAGACTCGGGGCTGTTGTGAGGAGACGGAGTTATTTCTCTGCTTTTAGAATCGAATCCTTGGAGGGAGGCCTTGGGTCTTATGGCTTGGGGGGGGGGGCTGGAGCTGGTGGGACTGGGATGGGGAAGAGCGTCCAGGACAAAGCTGGGCCTTTTAAAGTTTTCCCTCTGCCGCCGGGCTGAGGAGGGAACTCCCTTCTCTGTCTCCCCTCTCTCTCCTCTCCAACAGGGAAAGTCTGTTGCCTCCTAGGAGCCAAGTTCTGGGATAGGAAAGCATAGGCTGTGCTTTTTGATCTATTTCAGGTCCATTTCATACTCAACCCGGGAGGGGGGAGGGTCTCTAACAGGCAAAATGCTAACACGTGAAAACTGCGACTCTACTCACCAAGTCCCATTGTCATCTGTTTGTTTTGGCCACATCTGTCTGTCACCTTCACTTGAAGAGCCATTCTCAGAGGCAGGAAATGCCATATTATATCTGTCCCCTCCCGATACAGCCCCAGCAAATAAAATATGCTCATCTTGAATTAGTAATAAATGGGTGACGCACCCAAAAATATTTGTGTACTTAAAATGTGCCTGGCACTTTCTAGGCACTGTGGGGAGACAGCAAACTGTCTCAAAGAACTTGTGTTCTAAACATGGGTCAGACAATAAGCTAAGAAGGATAAGACAGAACTCGGCATTATGGATAACTACAGAAACTCGATGCCATCTTTGGAAGATAAATGCTCTAGCTTATCCTCCAGCCAGGAGGGCAGATGTTCATTTAAGACATGAGCTGGCAGCTGTGGACACTAAACAAACCCAGGAGCTCAGAGCTTCACCTCCTGCCCAGGTTTTGCCCTCATCCAACCAGAGTCTACCCTGTGCCTTGACCCACACAGTTCCCTAAATTACTTGGGACTTTGTCTAAACGTGAGTGCATTCTTCCTTCCTCTTATCTTGAAAGATCTAGAGCAGAAAGCAGCATAATTATTTTCTGAGAAGCTACTGTGTCAGACACCACATCACACATTCATTAAAACCCATACCAACCCTAAGAAGTTGATGGGAATGGCCCAATACTTATACCTATAATGCTGAGTGAATATCCATAGCAGTACTGTTTCTAGCAGCTAGAAAGCACGGACCATCCCATTTGTCCATCAACAGATGAACAAGTAAACAAAATAGAACATTACTCCACCATAAAAGGGAAGCAAGTGATTGCTCATACCACAATGAAGATGAACCTAGGAAATGTGCTAAGTGAAAAAAGCCGGCCCAAAGGCACACACATTGTACAGAGCATTTATGTAAAGCTGCCATGATAGAGAACTCCACGGGACAGAAAGTAGATTCATGATGGCTGCCAGGGCTGGGAGCAGTGGGGAAATGATTGCCACAGAGTGCAGAGTTTCATTGGGGATGATGGAAACTTTCTGAAATTAGGTGTTGGTGATGGCTGCGAAACTTCACGAGTGTTCTAAAAGTCACTGAACTGCGCATTCTTAAAATTTGAGAAGTATGGGATGTGAATTACACATCACTTAAAAATTTTAGATTTTTTGTTCTGTTGTGTGTGTGTGTGTGTGTGTGTGTGTGTGTGTGTATGAGTGCTTTCCCTGCATGTATTCATATGTACCTAGAGCATGTCTGGTACCTACAGAGGCCAGAAGAGGGTGTCTGAGCGCCTGGAATTGGAGTTATGCCTGATTGTGAGCTACCATGTGGGTTCTGGCAACTGAGTCCTGGTCCTTTCTGCAAGAATATCAAGTGCTGTCAATCACCGAGCCAACTCTCCAGACCCTTCGATGCCATTTTAAATAAAAGACAATTTGTTCAAGGTTCCATAGGCAGAAGAGGAAACTCAATACCTAAAACTACTTCTATTTGAGGTTGAAAATTATGGCGGAGGGCCCTGTAGCATCCTTGAGGCTAGACCCCAGAAGGCTTGCTTCTGCTAGTCTAACCACAGTTCTGCCTGCCACAGTTCATCATCTTCAGAGCAACATCTTTCTGACATTCTCAGGTCTTTGCAGGAAACCACTTGAATGTTTCACATACTCTGCCCTCTCTCTCCCTGCAACACTGTATCTTTCTGGTCCCATTGCCTTCCTATCCTGCCTCTCCCAACTCCTGTCGGCCCACCTCTTAAACTCATCAGATCTAGCATCGGATGTCCAGGGTATCTGAGAGGATGCTTCACCCTTGCTGGCCCAGGCAAAGCTTGGCAGAGGTCACAACAACCTGCTAAGATTGTGTGGCTAACAAAACCCAGCAGCCCAGGGGTTCTTTGGTTTTCCCCTGCCCTAGCAACCTATTTTCTGAGTCACTTTTTTTTATATCTGAATCCAGTCCTGGAAGGCAGGAGTTCTGTGAGTCCACTGTGTTGGTATTTGTCCTGGGGTAGCCGGGAAAGCCCCACTGCTTATCACTTAGCATCCATTTTAAGACCAGAAGAGCTGGCTTTGTTGAGCTCTGGCCCCTCTCCTCCTCGCAACAGTGTTACCTAAGCACGTTGCTCCTTTGGTACAGCATCTGTGATTCTGAAGCATCTGTGATTCTGATGCAGAGAAGAGGAGGGAGGGAGAGGAAGCAGGACTTACAGATCACTGGAGATGTCCTGGGTGCCCTGGACCACAGTAGTAATCTTTCCACCAACCCTCCTAATTCTGTCATTTTTGTTATCCACCCCAGCAAACCCAGGCACTGAATTCTGGGAAGTGGCACCCTGGACTCCACTTAGCACAAGGTACTCCACTTAACACAAGGCACTTCCTCACTGCTAAACTTGACTCTTGCCATGCATGTTGTCTAGGTAGCTTCCCACCCTTCTCTCTGGTCCTCCCAAGGCCACCTGGCAACCACGCCTCTCAGTACCAGCTCCCTCTTGCTGCCTGCAGAATAAAGAAGCACCTCCAATTAAAAGAGGAGCAGCTGGAACTGAGGCTGGGGAGGGGGAGGGGAAGAAGGCGGAGGCCCCCAGAGGGAGTCCTCTTTGGACCCCAACAGCTTCCAGTGGGAGAGACCCCTGGGCCAGGGGTTGTCCTTTGGCTTAGGGATATGTGTGGTAACTTAATTACTTTGTGTCTGTGGGACTGTGTGGGAAAGTTGGGTGTGAAAGTCTAACAGTGAGGCCTGGATGGCCTGTGCAGATGTCATGGGCACGTCTTGTCTTTGAAGGGGAATTTGAAATGTTTTCCCCATGAATATTTATCGTCTGTGATGGGTCAGGCTGGGTCATAGTGAGACAGCGCCACAAGTCACATGTTGGCAAGACTGGTGGAAGAGAAAGGCAGCCCGGGTTGTCTCTGCAGCTGTGCTGTCACCTAAGGAGGTGTGTGGCCGTCAGCATGTAAGTGCCGTGAGGTTGCTGGAACGGAATCCATGCGCCCTGTCTCTATGGCTGTCCTCTGTGGTGTGCATACATGTGTGAATGGATGCCTGTAGCAATCACGTCAGGTTTGGTACCTGTGGGAGAGAGGCCTTATTTTCTAGTGTAGCTGTCAGGAAAATTGCCACACCTGGGCCTAGGGTGGAACAGAGTATGGGGGGGGCAGAGAAAGAGAAGCGGTGAGAAGCGTGTGAAGGGGTGTGTAAAACAGTGGGATCATTGGGCCTGCGTCCTGGAGGTGTCCCCTCTGCCTTGCTCATCTACCTTAGTAAAGCAGCCTTTACTAAGGCTCCCTTCCAGCAGACAGGAGCTGTCAGGGATTTGAGGACTCAAAGACATGGAGAAGGACCCTCTGCTAGGGGTGGGTTTGGGTGGATGGCAGTCTCTAGTACCTGGATTGCAAGGAAAGGGAGACTGAGCAGGATAGACTGGTCAGTCACAATACAAAGATTCTTCCTCAGGTCTGGGGCCTGGTTCCAGGCCAGCCTCTCATAACCCCTGCCTAATCACAACCCCACTCAATCCTAAAATGAGAGACTAGCAGTCTGTCCAATAGAAGGGCTGACACATGTCCCCCCATCAGAGGAAGGACCTTGAATGGGCAGAGGACAAAAGGGTGGGGATAGACAGACACCCTCTGTTCACTAGGTTTCAACCCAGTTTTTACCTGAGATTAGGGTAATTTTCTCTTCCCACCAGGGTCCATTAAAGCTGGGCAGTTAGGTCTCTCTGGAATAGGGTCCTTCCTTGGGGTGCCATTCACTCTTGGCATAAAGCTTCCTGCCTTTCCCTGACAAACTTCTTCCCAAGAGAATCTGGGCAAAAATGCTTTGGACTAGAATATGTTTGATGCTAAGTATTCTCTCAGGGTGCCAGAACCC